GTGAAAACAAGCAAACTGCTTGAAGCGCGGGAAAACGCGAATGACCGCGTTGCGATTCTTTTCAGTTTTACACTTTATTGGTTATGAGGATGGCGTGTGTTTTTCTTAACCAATCATAGAGCAAAGTTGTGTAAACCTAAGCGACTCTAGCGCCTTGTCACATGTTTCATTATATTGATTGGTTGTTGTGCCGGATAACTTTGCTTTTGGTTTTACGACACTCCATGGAAAACTTACAACCACAAAAGCAGGAAAAGAGCTGGAGGACAGCTGGACACAAGGAGCAGTGTTCGCCAGTCTCTGATATAATAGGCCATTAGAGCAATAGCACCAGATCCGGCCGCCCAAAAGAACCCTGAACACTTTGAAGACATGGTGCGGAAGGTTGGACCAACGAGCTCCAGGATGTACACATAATGAGCCACGAAAAAACCCGTCAGACAGGCTCCTGTACAAAATCGAAGGAAAAGGACCAAGGATTTAGAAAAGCTGGCACCCAGGCTGAACAGTGTCTGAAGTAAAATAAACATGTAGTATGAACAGTTGTTTATAGTCAGAATTACCTCACATTGTGGAGAAAATTAAAAGAATGACAAAGAAAGGTAATAGATCACATATTGATTTATGGCAGTCTCAAGTGATAAGTCAAAAGGAATGAAAAACTTTCTGTTCATTCATTTTCAAGTGGATCCAGTCGTTGTGTGAAAAGGAGACAAAGATGTAACTGTATCTGATTGTGCGATTACATAATGCGACAATTTCTACGTCTCGCGTTGTTTATATAACGTGAATCGTCTCGTGCAGTATTTTTTCCCGCCATTTGCTTTATGTATTACTGTGGTTCAAAATGAATGGTTGAGTTAAAACAACACAACACTTTACAAAAGACATTATCTCGAGTTTGTCGCAAGATTAAGTTCACTTACAGATTCTCCATTCATCAACTCACTCTTTCCAAAGCTTTACTTTTTGAGGGGGGCATTGGGGCCTCTGGGAAACCGCAAAACCGAAGGAAAAAACCTCCAAAACCGAAAATCCGACGAAAAAAGGCAGCAAAACCGAAAACCGCATGCAAACCTGACAAAACCGCTACATCTTCAACTTTTAAGGGGCCAAAAAGGAAAAACCGGAAAACCGCATCAGAGTTTTCGTGAAAACCGAAAACCGAATGCAAAAACACGTAAAATCCGCAAACCGCTCTGAACATCAAAACCGAAAAATCGAACCTTTTCGGCCCAAAAACCGAAAATCCAAACCAAAAAACAGTCAAAACTGCAAAACCGAAAATCCCGAAGCCCCCCTCATTTATCGCCTCTTTTTCTAAGGTTGTGATCAACACTCATTTCCATGCTATCATCAAAAATATTCACCATAAAGGATAACCTGATCTGTGCATTCAGTTAGTAAACAGGAAAACTGCTGTGGAAAATGGGACAGGATAGCGCAGCAAAGTAAAAGAAAAGAGAAAGTTTAGAACGAGTCAAGTAAGTATTTATCAAGCACGCCATTTAATCCCTAAATTCAGGGAACAAGCTGTGGAAAAGGTAAATAAACACTATATCTATAGTTAAAACAAATATCTAAAACGTACCATTAGCACAGAACACAACAGCATACAAGACCGTCTTCCAAAGTTATCAGAGACTGCTCCAAAGATAAATGATCCAACCAACATTCCTGCACCAGATGCTGCCTGTACATTAGCACCAATGAAAGCTCTATACCAAATAAGGTTGTACTGCACATGGAGATGACAGAAAAAAAAGGGTACACTGACATGGTCATTTTTGGTTCATGCAATATACTTAGGTACTGTGTTAATCAAAAATATATTTAACAAATTGACAGAGGTTTAGCATGCTCTGCATTCTTATTAACAACAATATTCCTCAAAGCAGTCAAAATATTGAGGACTCACAAGGTGCAGCCTGAACCAGAAAACCTTTCACCCCTTAACTTGCAAGATCTGATTGTTAATTCTCCCCTCTAACTACCAGAAATTTCTTTGTAAATTAGTTCCCAGAATTTGGTCATAGATCAAGAAAGCCTCTACCTGATAAGTTTGAGTAGTCTCATTACCTGTTTGCTGGATAATCTATGGGTATTAAAGGGAGAAGTTACATGATGATTTCTAGCGGGGCTCCCACGCATGCAAAGCACGCGTGGGGTAGAGCCCCATACCCATGGAATATGGTCAACCTCTTTTTGTTTGGTTGTCATGTGACTGACCGAGTGTACATACGTACGTGCCTTCAGTTTGCATGGGTAGGATGGGGGGACTATCAAAACGAAGGGAGGGGTGTCTCAGGCGAGTCTTGGCAAATGCACATCTGTTATGTTATCATTAATATTACGAACTTGGGAGCTGCGCTTTTAGGCTTGGCTAAATCTATATAATAGGAGTTAAGGGTCAGTGTAATGTACCCTGTATCCTCTTAGCCATAACTAACAACAAGGAGAATCAAAGAAAAATACCTCAGTAACTGTGCTGTTGTAGGCATAAGGTCCAATAAATGCATATTTTGTACAGTTTTTGCAACATTTGTTTACTTCACACTCCACTTTTGGTGTTGCACATTGAAACTTTGGTGTTCCTGTGATAAATGGCACCCCAGCTGTGTGCAGTCCACTCGGTATGAGGACAAAAAAACATGAAAGGAAGTAAATGGCTCTTTGCCAGGGCCCAAATTCACCAATATGATTCAAAATGTCATCAAACTGCACAGAGTCACTTTCATTCTGTTGCACCTCACTAGGATAAATAAAGAAAAAGTTTTCATTATTCATGGAGCAAATAAATGTACCATTCTACACACCCCTGATACTGAGGAACATAACACAACAAATTCAAAGTTGGTGAATGATCATATAAGGACAAAAGTTAATGCTCTCCACTCTGAACACAAGTCAACCTGAGAAGGTTGACTTTTTACACCTTAACATCAGTGTACATGTTGCGGGTAAAAATTAAATTCAGGTAAAAAAATTTTAACCTAGGTTGAATTTCAATTCTCTTTGTCTCCAAGCCTTAATTGTGAATAATTAGGTCTCAGAGACATTACAAAGGAAACTGAAATTCAACCTAGGTTAAAACTTTTTTACCTGAATTTAATTTTTACCTGCAACATACATATTCTTATAGTATTCTCTATACATTTTCTTCTGTGTTGACAAGGAGAATTTATTTAACAATCAAAAATTTCTTTAATTGATGATCATTTCCTTTAACTGATTTGATTCAGGCATGATATTGTCAGGAGAAATTACATGCTAGTCACATAAATATTGTGTACAAAAGTTATCTAATTATTTTAAAGATGAAGAGGATGTTGCATGGCTTCATGTAAATATGAATTTTATGCGAGCATTGATAATATCTTACAGGAGATTGAAGTAAAATAGTAGTTGATTTCAAATTTTCATACAAAGTAAAGCATTTGTATTTAAAAATGCCTATATAATGTTTTGTATGTTATCTACACATAGATAAGGAATTATACTATGAAATGAAATTCGGTCTCCATCTCCATTCTTCATATACTGAATATTTTTAATAACCATAATAGGACAAAATTAAATATTTCGTTTTAAAATAAAAGTGATTTTATTCACTTTAGATTGCTCTGAATTTTGGATAATTTGCATCACCCTAACACAATAGTTTCTTTCACCACATAATCTTATGTAATATCTTATTTCATTGCCCCGCAGAAGGTCTGAATACAATTACAAAACAAACAGAACAACCGCATATTTTGTGTTTAGTTGACAGATAGACTGATCTACATCACAGAGAAATGAAATTTCTTTTTTGAAGCAGTTTTAGAGCGTTTTTCAATGAGTTGCTAAGATAGAGCGGTGTTCCTAGAGTTGTATTCAACGAATTACCCACGATCGCGAAAAGCCTTCTATTTGACAAAAAAAATTCGCGACTGTCTTCTGTCAGTGCCACAAGCTAGCATGAACGTTGAAGCATTTGATAATGGTATTTATCCTTCGAAAGAACACAGTATCACAGACGAAAAACACATAGTTCTTTAAGATCATCGCCATAAATTGCGTGAGAAACGTTACGTACCGCATCATTGCGTGACCTGACGATGTGCACATACACAGTTTTCCTCAAGGGAAAGAGTACCAGATAACTCCATACATTAATTATGCATTCTACTTCTTTGTCTTTCATGACAAAACTTTAAAAACAAAGTCTACTAGTTTGAATGTATAATTAACGTATGGGGTTATATGGTACTCTTGCCCAACTTGCTGGCGTATGCGGTATATCAGTGAGAATTCTCCAGATACCTTAAATAGATATTGACCCTTGTAGATAACTGCATGCTTCGCTGCCAAACAAGTTATGTCACACATATCTAATTTCAGTTGCCAAAAATGTCATTTTCAGACTACAGTTGGACATGAGAAGCAAAAGTACACCCTAATTAGCTTTAAAATTCTAATATCTTAGCTTACTTGGGGAATAAAATAGAACAAAAACCTATCAGCGTTATATTTGATCGAATGATTAGCACTGAGGAATCCCCTGTATTGTACAAAACATGTCGAAGATTGCCTGCGAATGAGGTCTCAATTATGCAATCACTAACAACTTGAGGCACTTAAATTAGTACCTGTTAATGCTGGTATTTCCATTCCTATTTCCAAGTCTTTCTTGGCTTCTCATTCTGTCTTCAGAATTTGGGATTTCCATCAGTTCCAGCCCTTACAAATCATTGTTTGCTGAGAAGATGGAAACCATTCATGTAATGCAAATAGCACATTTCCGAATTACCCTTGCCCTCATGTTCAAAACGAGTCCTGGTGCTCATCCTTTCATATGATGATAAGTTTTTACTCACATGCAAATTTAATTCATCTTCACAAGAATGGTTAAACACGAAGGCGCGCTGTAAAAGGAGCCTTAAGTCCCACTGGACCATTTGTCAATCAACCGTCGTGTGACAAATTGAAAAAAAGATTACCTAATAATTAAAAATAATAAGTTTGAATAAATAATTAAAAAAAATTAATTAAAAGTGTAAAAAATAAAGTGAAAATAAAAATTAAAAAGAAAAAAAAGAAAATCAGTTCTCTATAAGTAAAACCAAAAAAATGCAAAATTTTCCCTCGATCAGTCATAAAATGCAGAGAACACGTGACGTGAAAAATAACTACCTATGGCACTGTTCACGGAGATGCACATACTAGAACTACATGTAGCTTACACCCTACAATATACAAACTGATGCCAAAGATTGCTTCAATGTAAATAAACCAGAAGTGTGATTTATTATTGACAGACCTCAAGCACTGTCGGTTCTAAGTGGAAAAGGGGATGTAAATACAATAAGTACTTGGCGAGCAAACCCAAAGTGCGACCGCACTTAAAGTGCACCTACACCCAAAAAACTTTTTTCGCTTAACGAAGTAAGCTTATTTTTTTGAGTATTTCTGCGTAAAAATTTTTTTATTTGCTCAAATCTTCAATTTTCTATGCCCAGTCAAAATACGGAAAATCGGCCGCCATCTTGCCCCACGACCGAGTTTAAAGAGGAATGGCTCTAGTGGGTAATGTGACGTCAAATCGAGAACACGAAAGTCTGCTTTTCACACTTT